AAAACAAACAAACAAACAAAGACTTTGACAATGCACCAGGAAGAAATTATTTTTAACTAATAATAGACAATGCTTTGCTCAATTCACATGGACACAGGAACTCTTATACATACGCAAATTTTTTGTAAATTCCAGAAAGTCTGAGTTAAGGGTCTAAAACAAAGTAAAGCAAGAATAAATATGTTGCCTTTTTGTAACATATTTGAGATGGTTTCATGCTGCATCAAACTTTAATGAAAGATAATCATGAAAATTGTTAAATGGTCACTTATAGAGAGCAATGGCCAGCGTCTCCTTGGGGAGTTCTTCTTCCTGCTGAGGAGGGTGGAAGCCACCTGAGAACTTAAAGTCTAAAATAATTAGTGAAACACAAAAAAACAAAGAGTCAGAAATATATTTTCAAAAGTGGAGCCCCTGATAGATCCAGTCCACACAAGAGTTGGAGCTAGACAAAAGAAGATGGCTCTAGTGGTTTATTTAAGGGGGTGCATCACAGGCAGGGATAAAGTTTCAAGGGCAGAGTCTTGCTTCCTGATATTTTGCTGTCAGCAGTTGATCGACATCTTGGCAGGTTACACCCATCTCAGGTGCTGTGTGGGACATGGCAGAGTGGGATAGGAATTCACAATGCATCAGGGCAGTTAACCAGAGGAAATGTCACTGGTCATTCCCAGACACCAGATGATCCTATCCACTAGGCTCCATGTGCGGTGGTCCACACACAGCCCCTGGATGGTTCATGATAGTTAATCACAGAATGAAGTGAAAATTATTTTAACAGTGCATGTAGAAGACTCCCCTCCTCATACTGAGCTGTGCTTCATCTTAACTGACACCTGTTTAAACACAAGCATGATACCAGAGAGGCTGGGAACATCCGAGCACAGGACCTGAGCATCACTTAAGCATAATGTCTCTTCCAGTCATGGTCTGTCTTCATTTTTACTGCCTTAGAAAAGTTTCCTTGCAGTCATGTCCTGTGATGACCACATGGCTGTCAGTCACCTCTTGGGTATGCGGTTACTATGAACCCCTGCCTCTCTGAGTCCTGCTGATTCTGGCCTCTCTGTTCACCAGCATTG